GCACTTCAGCACGTGGTAACCCAGGTGAGCAAGTATCCTTGGTGTATCTTCAGGGACAGCTCTTGTGCACAGCAAACAGCCACCCCAAGTCCTTACCTCCTCCTCCCTCACCAGTATGGCCCCTCTGCAGGATTTTGCCGAGTATGGGCATCTATATCATTATACAGGTAGATTGAGATAAAAACTGGAAGTGCTTACTAGCTGCTTTAATCTTCAAAGAGGTCCTGGTTCCCTGTGAAACAAAAGAGAGGAGCAGAAATACCTGTGTGTGGAGTACCTCAGCCAGGTCCTCTATCCTCCTCTTGCTCTCCACACTTGGGATCCTGGCTATAAATTTATCCAGCAGGCACTGATTCTGGAGTTTAGCTTTATTGCCTGGTTTATGCCTGGCCTTGCTTCTAGGGCATTCTGTCCAGTTGGAGGTGTAATGCCCTGAGCTGAAATGATCACACTCAGTCTCACAGGAGCATGTTGTAGAATCACTTTCTGAGCTGGAGCTGACACCTTTGAAATCAAGAAAGATGTCCTCTTCCTCCATCACTTCCCCTACTTTTTGGATTGCCTCTTCCATGACCTGCTGGAGGTTGTCTAATAAGCCCATGTCAACTAAGAAGTCTACAAAGTTGGATAACTCCTGAGCAGCCTGAGAGGGAAGACACAAGCACTCATCCTGCTTCCCTTTGCTGTTGCTCTCAAACAAGCTAAAAGAGGAAATATTTGTGATGTTAGACATCACCACTGGCTCCTGGCATCTGCAGTCAGCTGGTGGTCTCAGCAGGGCTTTCCAGTTGAGTGGCCTGTTTGGGGACATGCCTGTCTGCAAACCAAACAAAGCAAGGAGTATCAGTCAGGAGTTGCCTGGCAAGAGCGGACGCTGGGAGAGCTGTGACTCCATAGCACTTTCAGACGGAAGGGCCTGGATTTACTAACTCAACGACTAATACTGTAACAATCATTTAAGTAAGGACTCGGCACTCTTTTCTGGTACCTTCCATTGGCAGATTTCAGGTTTTGACATTTCAAAAGCATTTGTAATTTAATCTCACCACACCCCAGGACACAGGAAAGCTTTAACATCTCCATTCTGCAAAGGAGGAAACGATAGCACAGAACAGTTAAGTGATTTATCTCACTGTTGTGGGAGCAGCAAAGCTGGGAGAAGAACCTGTGGCCCCTGTTTCCAGATATACCTTTGCCATCTCTGACTTTAAATCTCCACCAGGGAAAAAAAAAAGTTCCGTCATTATTTTTTGTGATCAGCTGTGAACGTGACCCGGTGCAGTGATACCACCAGGCCAGGTTGCCAGCCTAACATATTACTAGGGGTTTTTTTAGTGTTATGAGTTCATAAGTGGGAAAGCTTCCTCCTCCAGAGGTACACGCATTCATGGGGATATTCAAATGAGAAATGATAACCAACCAAAAGCTGCTTCTCCTGTCTCTCCTCTTACACTGTCCTCCCAACACATGGCAAGCATGACAAAAAAATGTCATGTGCAAAACGAAACAGGCCACAGTCTTCTCTCTGCATGTTTTCTGTGCCATTGCAACTTAACCAGAACTATCCCTGCTGATGAGCTTCAGTCTCAGTGAGGGGAGAAGCAGGGCATAATGCAAGCCAGATTTCTGCAGAAGTGTGCTTGGGAAGGCAATGACCATGGGAGGGAATGGGGCACAAGTACTGATGTGGGCAGGGGGTATGGATGAGGTATGCTGAGAGGGACTGATCTGGGTTTTGATGACATGAGAGGGCAAGTTGTCGGGGAGACTGCAGGCAGGAAAATGTTCCTGGTCCAGAGAAGAGGGCTCCCAGAGGGCTAATCAGCAGCCAGGCCTGCAGTAAGCCTCAGCTAATGACCTGTGTGCCACATTAGGAGCAGTGAGCAGCTTACTTGGCTGCTGGGAGCTCTGCCTATCCGTGCACCAGCTGGGGCCCTGGGTTTGCATGCCACTCAAAAGCTCTGAGCCACTTCTGCTGCGACAAGCCTCCTGGATCCTGCACTCTGGTTTTCCTGGTTCCTGACCCGGGTTTTGGCTTATTTCTGGACTTCAGCTTTGGATTTCCCTGTGGTCCTCACCCCAGTTTGGCTCTCAGACTTCACGCTGTGGATGTTCCCTTGGCATCTGATCCCTGGATCCTGAGCCTGGACTGTATTGTGTATTCTACCCCTGGATTTCCCTCCAGATTTTGTTAATATGGCTCCCATCCTCTGACTCAGCCTCAGATCTCTGCTTTCCATCAGTGGTCTAACCTACACTCTGGTCCCCTACAGTGGCTGATCCCTGGGACGCTATTTACTGAATGGCATCCTGATATCACTGTACACCCATATCTCCCACTGTGCACCAAGGTGGTAAGATGCCTTCCTAGAAGTACAAGCTTGGGCTGGTGATATTGTCTCCCCTGGCTCTTACTTGGACTTCTTGGAAATCTTCATCATCTGCCAAAATAGCCTGAATACCAGTGGCCCACCATGGTGTGGAAAGTTCAACAACTCATTGCCCTCGCTGGCCTGCAGCACTCTCTGAACTTCTTTTTCTTCCTCCTCCAGTGCTGCTGCTGTGGCACAAAACTTCTGGAGAGAGTTTCACACACACAAGTATTCTCAAAGGATGGGGAGTACACAGCACAGGTGAAATCCTGGCCCCACTCAGGTAAATGGGAACTTTGCCCTTAAGTCCTGTGGGGCTGGGACTGTATCCCACATACCCAAAACCAGCCCCAGCTCCCTTCCATACAGCCATCCCCTCCAACAGTCCTAGAGAAATGTGTCAGGGGGAACCTAAAAACAGGTAGGCCTGATCTGATATTTAGGCAGATTCATCAGTCACAAGATTGTGATATTGAAATAATAAAACCATGTTGACACAAACTGGCCGTGTTTGTTATTTTCCATAATGTCACTGAGAGCAGAACTTGACCCCTTGTGGGATGTTTAAAACATCAGAGTGCCATTGGGTAACCAACTGCTATGGGACAGGCCTTATTATGTGACTTGCTCCTCCAAGCTGTATTTAATACTTACAGCCATATTCATACGGTCTTACCAATCCAGGTGGTGAGAGAGTATTGAATCCAGGGCATTAGTTTCTTTTAGTTTCTTACTTCTTTAAGTACCATAAATTTTAAATATGCTGACTGCCTCAATGTAAAGCCAGCAGATTTTCCACAAACAAGACCTTGCTGACTTGAAACTTCAGGTGGAAGCTGGAGAGCAAAGCACATCACACCCCGCCGCCTCTTTCCAAGACTTTCCCCGGTGATTGTTAGGTAGGAGATTCTATTTGTTTGTGCAAAGGATTCCAGACATTTGCATAGCGGAGTCCAGGTATTTGCATACCATGACCTGCCTGGTGAAAACTTGGGGCCAGCCTCTCACTCCGCTGCTGCTAATAGCCCCCTCCCTCTCTCTTGAGTGTTTTTTCCTAATGGGATTTTTTTTGTAAAAGGAAAGGTTGCAGAATTGTGCATTAAAAGTCTGTAAATGCACCCAAGGCCTGACCCTGCCTTTCTAAGGACAGAATTGCCCACACTGTGAGGCAAGGGGATAGCCCAGGGAATACAGAGCCTTTCCCCTGTCTGATAACCAGGGATTCTGGTTTTCTCTGATAAAAAAAATCCCCAATTTTTGGATGTAACCCCTGCCCCCCATGGCTCCCCCGGGGAGTGAGGAGGCACGTGGCGTCAGGCCTAGGGAGCGGAGCAGTGTCCTGGAGCCAGCGGAGCTTCACTGGGGCAGGCAGTGGCTCCCCCCTGAAGTAAGGCAAGGCAGGGATGGAGGCTGGGGTGGGGGGCTGGCATGGGCTCTGCTGGCTCCGGGGAAGTGCTTCACGCCCTGGCCCTGATGTGGGGGATCGGAGCACTTCCCCAGAGCCAGTGGAGCCCGCCTTGGCTCCAGCCCCCGGCATCTAGGCCCCAGTCCCGGCCTCTGGCCCCCAGCCCTCAGCCCCCTTCGGTAAGTGTCCCACACCAGATCAAGGCGGCGCGCTGATGGACCAAGGCGGAGCGCTCATGGACTGAGGCGGTGCGCTCACGGACCAGTACTCCTTGGTGGCCAGGCTGGCCCATGTGAAGGTGGAGATTACAATGGGGGAAGCAGATTCGGAGACCTGGTGCCACAGAGATGGGTCGAGCCCTCAGAGCAGGAGGAGACAGTGCATCTTGGCTGCATTGTGCTTTTTTTCTGCAAATAGTACAAAGTTCACAGGCACTTGCGTGAAGGAGGCTGTGAAAGCAGAGTTGTTGAGGAGCACAGATCTCCAGGGGAGTGTAGAAGAGCTCTGTACGATGGAGGACAGCTTGCTTGTGGCTGAGCCTGACGGCTGAAGACAGAGAACCTTATCTCTAAGAGCCCCACAGCACAGTGCTCACCCCGATGCACTGAACGTCATTAAGTGGAAAAGGGCTTGGAAATGGCCACTTCACTGCCAACACCATGTAGACATGCCTGTGATTACTGAGTCTGCTGAATGACTGGTGAAAGCCTGAATTAAAACAAAGATGAGGAAGTGGGGAGTGAGGTGGTTCAGTTTTTGCTGAATGTAAGATAAAAGATTGGAAAGACTGTTGGACCCTCCCTGCCCAGTACCCTGGTAGTAGGGCCTGGCAGGACACACAAAAGACTCTGGCGTCATGGGTAATACAGAGTGCGCTGATCTGTGCAGACCCCAGGGCTTTGTGCCATTGTAATGGAGGAAAGTAACTGCAATACCTCTGTTCCTGACTGACTCAGTTAAGGAGGTCTCACATTTTACACCCAGACATGCAACCTAGTGAGCTGCTCTGTCTCAGGTGAAAAAGGCCCCTGTCACAGGGTTGCTAGTGCTTGAAGCAAGGCAGGGCCAGCTCTCCTGGGAGGGAGCAGGTGCTGACCATCTGGCCCTGAGGAGGAGGCTGGGGCAGCAGCTGAGAGTGGATAAAGAGGGCACAGGAAGGGCTACAGCTCTGCATTTCTGTAGGAGGAGGTGATGGGCGCAGCTGGCTGGGGCTGGGCAAGAGTTCATAGTGAGCAGCAGTGGGCTATGGCCTTGGTTTTACCTGAGCTGTGAGCTGGAGCTGGCAAAGGCAGAAGGGAGGAGAGGCAGCAGTGGGACTGGACTGTTGATCTGCCCTTGCTGGATTGTCAGAGCTGGATGCCTGGGGCCAGGAGAGCAGCAAAGGGTGTATCTGCTGGCTTCTCTGGGGCTCAAGAAGGCTGAGAGGCAGGGGGTGAGTGAAGGGGCTTGTGTGCCTGGGCTGAGGAGCCAGAGATGGAGAAGACTGAAAGACTGCTGCTAGGTGGGGGACCGAGGAGCTCTGCTTGGAGCAGGGGAAGAGTGTGTGCAGGGCAAAAGTACTGAATAGGAAACATATCATTTGTACAACTTCAAAGGTTAAATGGAGTCTTCTTCCCTAGTAACGTCCTCCTGTCTTTCTCCATTTCTGAGAATTCCAGATAGGGATTTTATCCACCCAGAGAACAGGAATATCACATGTGACTTGCATGACATATTGGCATCATTAATTACTCAAGCAGTTACAGATAATTGTTAACACTGCATTTAAAAAAAAAAAAAAAAAAAAGAAATAAGAGTGAAAAAATCGCACTAATACCAGTCTTTGCTCCTGTTCTTAGAGACCCTCAGAGGACTGAAGATAAATGTGAAGCTTGAGGAATAAATACCAAATAAACACCAGGAACCTGATTCTCCTCTCAAAGCAGGGAAAACAGAAGTGACATTGTCAAGGCAAAAGGGATACATGAGGTCTCTTCTAGTATGGAGAAATTACAGACTTTAACTAGAAAAGAAAGAAATCCTGAACACTGGAAACACCTTGCATGAACAAGGTGCAAGAGATGGCTGCAGTTGTTCTGGGAGGCACTAGAGGATATTTTCTAATAGGCATTGGTCATGGGAGGAGAATGAAAATGTTTATATTTTTTTTCCTGTTCTTTAAAAAAAAAAAAAAAATAGTGGGCGAGGGGGCAGGACTAAGATGGGGAAATTGTCTGCAATCGGGAAAGGTTGTTCTAGTAAACAGTTGCATGAAAGGGCCCTGAGGTGCTGGGGATGGGCTTTGCAAGGGCTGTTCTCAGCTGTGAGTGTTTGAGAGGAAGCTGCAGGGTCCCTGCCAGAGACCCGTTTGCTTAGGGAGGCTTCACTGATTTGGGACCCCCACCCTGGCCTTGGGGTTTCTCCTCATGGGGCTCACATGACTGGCTTTGGTACCTGAGAACTGCTGTTGTCTAAATCAGTTCCAGTGTCATTCAAGTATCCAGGTTGTAGCCATATTGGAAATTGATGGAAAAGGCAATCAGGACTCATAGTAGAGATGATATCTTTTATTAGACCAACAAGATTTTTGCCAAAAAAAATTGTTTAATTGCAAGCTTTCAGGCACAAACACCCTTCATTTCCTGTTTTTTAAAAAAAAAAAAAAAATAGTGGGCGAGGGGGCAGGACTAAGATGGGGAAATTGTCTGCAATCGGGAAAGGTTGTTCTAGTAAACAGTTGCATGAAAGGGCCCTGAGGTGCTGGGGATGGGCTTTGCAAGGGCTGTTCTCAGCTGTGAGTGTTTGAGAGGAAGCTGCAGGGTCCCTGCCAGAGACCCGTTTGCTTAGGGAGGCTTCACTGATTTGGGACCCCCACCCTGGCCTTGGGGTTTCTCCTCATGGGGCTCACATGACTGGCTTTGGTACCTGAGAACTGCTGTTGTCTAAATCAGTTCCAGTGTCATTCAAGTATCCAGGTTGTAGCCATATTGGAAATTGATGGAAAAGGCAATCAGGACTCATAGTAGAGATGATATCTTTTATTAGACCAACAAGATTTTTGCCAAAAAAAATTGTTTAATTGCAAGCTTTCAGGCACAAACACCCTTCATCAGGCATTGGAGAAAAGATTGTAGAAGTTCTTCTGGGTAGAAATGAAAGGTCATATTCCATAGGATTTCACAGAGGACTCAATAGATGGAAAACTGCTCCTGGCAGTCAGTTCATAGCTGGTATTGGAGCCTCTCGCCTCTTCTGAGGATCTGCGATGATACAAATTTTATCAGACATGGTCTGTGCACCAGAATGAGCACACACTGAACATCTATCAAAGATAAAAATGCCCAATTACCTGTGGGTGCACATTTCTCACAAAATAACCACTCTCTTTCCAATCTCTCAATTCTAATCCTCAAAGCGAACATACAAAATACCTTTTATAGATGAGCCTGTGAACTTCACCTCATAAATCTACGTCATACAAAAAAACATGGAATAAATACAGACATTGGATTTGGGGCACATCATAACCTGCCTGCCACCCAATAACCCTGGGGAACCTCTCTATACTTTGCCACCTGCATTTTGTCACTTGTTGACATTCTCTTCTTTGTTTTTCCCTCCCCACCAACCTGTCTCAGACCTATTACTTCTGTCCCCTCTCATCTTCCCTGCCATGCATTTGTGTTTTCAGAGACCTGGGTTTTGCGTTTTGGCTTGAGCTTCTATTCGGACCCTAAAGAGATGATAAAGACCAGGAGACTCTCCCTATGTCTGAGGAAAGGTGCCTGTGCCCAAAAGCTTGCAAAGAAGAATTTGTCTAATTATTCAGTTGGCCTAATAAAAGATATCACATGTACCCAAATAATCTTGTTTGAGTTACAGGGAAGTCTCAAGTCAAAGACATTATAAAATGTAAAACATTCTCTATGAACGTGAGCATAAAAGACACATCATTATTCAGCCTGAGTTATAAATATCAAACTGGTCGAGAGAGAGGGGAGACATAAAACACAGGGGACGGGAGAGTAAAATAGTGTAGCCAAGTCTTGGGATTTATTTTTTTATTTTTTTGCAAGTCTCCTGAGAGCTGCTTTTTCCTTTCAAATCAGGGTCCTGGAATCCTGTGAATCTCAACTTTCATTAAACAAGAGTTACTTGTCCCCATAGTTGTGGAGAAATACTGGCTCACAAATGAAATGGAGAAGTCATTATATATTTTAAAAACCTTGATTTAAAATGATAGTTAAGACTAGTCAGATGCCTGGGTTTGGCATTACTCGTGGTTAGGGGTCTCAGGTGCAGCCATAACTTTCCGATTGTCTCAGCCAAAGAAGAGTGAGAGTGATGTGGCACAGTTATTACCTACAGGCAGCAGAGGATGGTGCTTAGCTTTCTAGCTGTATTGAGCACTTGCACATTGTTTCTTTTCAACTGTGTGTGCAACTGGCTGTGATGTCTGAACAGCTCTATCTTTCTAGATCCCTTGTGCAGCCAGACTGCGTGGGGCTCGGGTGACATGAGGGACCAGACAAACCCCCCAGCTGTAGCATACCATGGATTCACGTACCACCTCTGGATGTAGCTACATCGGCATTTGCAAAATGTCAACCTTAAGCTTCACACGTCTAATGTTGACCTTCCTCACTAAATTCAAAGTGACCTCAGACAGGTGAGGGGGACAATTTCGATTTTCTTAAAAGGTACATCTCAAGGTTGTAATGGAAGGGAAAAAAACTTCTTAATTGGGAAAGTGCTGAGGTGGGGGATTTGATAAGTCATCAAATACCACATGGGCAGTTATAAAATGAAAAGGCAGTTATAAGTGAGAGTTTTCTGTAGCTGCAGACACCAGTTGCACAAGCACTGGTCTGGAATTGCAACACTGGCAATTTAAGGTAGGATTTAAGAAAGCAATTTCTCATTCTGAGGCTAGCTAAGCATTGGGGTGGGTGACTTAGAGAAGTTAAATAATCTTTCTCCTTGGACATTTTTAAAAGCAGGTTATAGCGACACTTGACTGGGAGGGTGCAGTCGGGGGTGATTCTGCCTGAACCAGGGGGTTGACTGATGACCTCCTGAGATGCCTTCCAGCCCTACACATCTATTCCACACCCCACAAGAGTCAAAGGTTTTGGGACTAATGTTTCATAGTTTCATAGTAGCTAGGGTCAGGAGGGACCTGAACAGATCATCTAGCCTGACCCC